TTATAGCTGGGGATCTATAGACAATGATGGGGGGGGTACATACACTGCTAGGGGGGGAAGGTTCTCTTTATAGATGGGGATCTATAGACAATGATGGGGGTACATACACTGCTGGAGGGGGACAGGTCCCCTTTATAGATGGGGATCTATAGACAATGATGGGGGTACATACACTGCTGGAGGGGGACAGGTCCCCTTTATAGATGGGGATCTATAGACAATGATGGGGGTACATACACTGCTGGAGGGGGACAGGTCCCCTTTATAGATGGGGATCTATAGACAATGATGGGGGTACATACACTGCTAGGGGGGGACAGGTTCTCTTTATAGATGGGGATCTATGGACAATGATGGGGGTACATACACTGCTGGGGGGGGAGGTCCTCTTTATAGACAGGGATCTATAGACAATGATGGGGTACATACACTGCTGGGGGGGGGCAGGTCCTCTTTATAGACGGGGATCTATGGACAATGATGGGGGTACATACACTGCTAGGGGGGGACAGGTTTCTCTTTATAGATGGGGATCTATAGACAATGATGGGGGTACATACACTGCTGGAGGGGGACAGGTCCTCTTTATAGATGGGGATCTATAGACAATGATGGGGGTACATACACTGCTGGGGGGACAGGTCCTCTTTATAGATGGGGGATCTATAGACAATGATGATGGGGGTACATACACTGCTGGGGGGGCAGATCCTCTTCACAGCTGTGTGGGGAGGAGCAGTGACTCAGACTGGGATGTGATTGGCTGTTGTGGACACAGTAGACGGTGGGGGGTGTCTTGCAGGGAAAGTGACCCGCCTGTGTTTTGTCTTCCAGGTCAGAGAAGGATGGCGGAGAGGGCGGAGCTCTCCCCGGAAATGAGGAGGAGCCACACAGGTCAGTGTCACACACACAAAAGGCCGATGCTGATTCTCACCTGCGCTGTGCTGTTTGGGTACAGAGATAGGCCTTCTTGGGGCACAGTGGGCGTGGCTTGGGGCACAGTGGGCGTGTCTTGGGGCACAGTGGGCGTGTCTGCCTCTGCTGGAATCACATGAGAAGCACAGCAGCCCCGGCATCCCTGTAGCCCGGCGCATTCAGGGCCATGATTGGCATCCTCTCAGCGAAGGCGAAAAGTGTTCTCTGATTGGAGGACGTGGTTTTTTAAAATCCTGCTTGCTGTATTTTTTTGGTGCAGGTTTGGTGTGGGGTAATAAAAAAAAACCCCACTGACGGGCACTGACGAGGCAGCACTGAATGCAGGGCACTGACGAGGCAGCACTGACGGGCACTGACGAGGCGGCACTGGTGCGCACGGATGGGCACTGACGAGGCGGCACGGATTGGGCACTGACGAGGCGGCACGGATGGGCACTGACGAGGCGGCACGGATGGGCACTGACGAGGCAGCAGTGATGGGCACTGGATGGGCAGGTAATGGGCACGGAGGCAGCACTGATGGGCAGTGACGAGGCAGCACTGATGGGCAGTGACGAGGCGGCACTGATGGGCACAGATGGGCAGTGACAAGGCAGCACTGATGGGCACAGACGGGGGCAGCACTGATGGGCACGGATGGGCACTGACGAGGCAGCATGGATGGGCACTGACGAGGTGGCACTTTGGGCACGGATGGGCACTGACGAGGGCCCCCGTGAAGCACTGATGGGCAGCACTGATGGGCACTGGAGGGCGGCACTGATGGGCAGTGACGGGCACTGACGAGGCAGCATGATGGGCAGTGATGGGGGCACTGACGAGGCTGGGCACTGATGGGCACTGACGAGGCAGCACTGACAGGCACTGACGAGGCGGCACTGGTGCGCACTGACGGGCACTGACGAGGCGGCACGGATGGGCACTGACGAGGCGGCACGGATGGGCAGTGACGAGGGCAAGCACGGTTGGGCAGTGACGAGGCAGCAATGATGGGCACGGATGGGCAGTGACGAGGCAGCATTGATGGGGCAAGTGCGAGGCAGCACTGATGGGCAGTGACGATCGGCAGCACTGGGATGGGCTAGTGACGAGGCAGCACTGATGGGCAGTGAACGAGGGCAGCATGATGGGCAGTGACGAGGGGGCACGGATGGGCACAGATTGGGCAGTGACAAGGCAGCACTGATGGGCACAGACGGGCAGCACTGATGGGCACGGTTGGGCATGACGTTTGGGGGCACTGATGGGCAGGCAGATGGGACAGTGACAATGCAGCACTGTGGGCACAGACGGGCAGCACTGATGGGCACGGGTAATGGGCATGACGAGGCAGCACGGTATGGGGGTTTGACGAGGGGGGGTGGATGGGCATGGACGGGCAACTGACGAGATTGTGTTGCATTCTATATGGCAAAAACTGACAGGTGGCACTGATGGGGCTGCACTGATGATCGTGTGTGATGTACCCCTCCTATGAGGAATGTGATTACCGGGCCTCACGAGCCGTCTGCGGGGGGAGAGGTGTAGCCGATTGCCGCATTTTCCCTGTTTACATGCACTCGCTGTGATTGGACGCATCTGATCACATGACAGCCGAGGATCTCTCAGGCTGTTTCCACTGATCAGTGATCCTTTTGTGTCCCTGGGATACAGGCACCGCCGATCGCCGTTCTGCGCACTAACCCGGAGGCACACATTTGCATTGGCGGTTAGTGATCGCCTGTGCGTTTTTTTGCGCAATAAAAAAATCGGGGGGGTTTGAGAAAAAAACTGTTTTTGACTTTTTGTTATTAAACGTCCAGTAAAAAAAAAATAATAATTTTATCCAAAGTTTACGCCAAGATGTATTCTGCTTCGTGTCTTTGTGAAAAAAACAATCCCAATCCGTGTAAATTAGCCGCCCGTCCCCCAACCCCGCCGTATAGGAGATTACAGCTACATGGTGGTCGTCGGTGTCGTGTGTGTGTGTGTGGTGTGGTAGGGGGTGTTGTGTGTGTGTTTGGGGGGGTGTGTGGTGTGTGTGGGTGGTGTGGTGTATACGTGATTTTGTGGGGTAGGGGGTGCATGTGAGTGTTCCAGTGGGCCAGTTTTGGTGTCAATCCCTAGTTGAAACGCTCCCGCCCCCGCCCCCTAGTGAGAAACGCTCCCAGCCCCCGCGCCCTAGTTGAAACGCTCCGGCCCCACAGCCCCCGCCCCCTGTAGTGAAAACGCTCCCAGGACCATCAGCCCCCGCCCCCTAGTGAAAGTTTGCAGCATTCATTTCTTGTTTTTGTATTTTTTTTTTGTGTTGGGACCTGATTGAGTGAACTACACCTCGCAGGTCGACGAGGGTGATGAAGGAGCGACAAGTTTCCCGCCAAACACCGTTTGGTACAGATCTGAAGTCTTGGGGGGGGTTATTGGGGGGGGGGAGCACTTGGATGGGACTGTTTATGTGCCGCCTTATATCACCGGTCAATGTTACTTACACACTTTTACTACACACCGACACCCCACTTTCTGTTTATTTCATATCTATATGTATATTTTAGTTAATTTTTTACAATGTATTTTGTAAGTGTCTGTTTAACATGTCACATGTTTGTTTAATATATTGATAATAATATACCGTATTGTTTGTGCTCCATAAGACGCACCTAGGTTTTAGAGTCAGTGGAAAACAGAAAAAAATAGTTCTGAAACAATGGATTCTGACCAGAGACTGCGGACACCAGTACAGGGACTGACGGATGCACAGACACCGTACAGGAGATGACCAGGGAGGACTGCGGACACATAGACAAGGAGAGATGACCAGAGACGGTCATTAGTACAGGAGATGACCAGAGACTGCGGACACAGTACAGGAGATGACCAGAGACTGCAGTGTACAGGAGCTGACGGAGACTGCGTACATCTGTTACAGGAGATGACCAGAGGACTGCGGGACATAGTACAGGAGATGACCAGAGACTGCGGGGACACTAGTAAGGAGGAGATGCGGACACCAGTACAGGAGATGTCCAGACACAGTGGGACAGTACAGGAGATGACCAGGAGCCTTTGAGCACACAGTACAGGCACGATGGACGAGAATGCAGACATTGTAAGGAGATGAGGACCAGAGACTGCAGACTTTAGTACAGGAGATGACCAAGAGACTGCGGAACAGTACAAGGAGATGACCAGGTGACTGCGGGACACAGTACAGGAGAGAGAGGATGCAGTCACTGTACAGGACTGACCAGAGACTTGGGACATAGTACAGGAGATGGGACCAGAGAGCTGCGGGACACCTAGCGATACAGGAGAGACCAGAGAAGACTGGCGGACACAGTACAGGAGATGGACCAGAGAGAGACTGCAGAGTACAGGAGATGACAGAGATGCGGGTTACACACAGTACAGGACAGATGACCAGAGACTGCAGGACACAGTACAGGAGATGACCAGAGACTGCGGACACAAGTAAGGAGATGACCAGAGACTGCCGGACATAGTACAGGAGATGACCAGAGACTGCAGACACGTACAGGAGATGACCAGAGGACTGCGCACACAGTACAGGAGATGACCGAGACTGCCTGCGGACACAGTACAGGAGATGGACCAGAGACTGCGGACACAGTACCAGATGACCATCCACCATCCAGACCCATGCAGGACCATAGTTTTAATCAGGGAGAATGACCAGAGATCTGCATCTCCCCCCCTTACCCACAGTACAGGAGATTGACCAGAGACTCTCTGTACGGACACAGTACAGGAGATGACATTTACCTAGTTCCAGACCTATGTCAGAGACTGTAGATTACCAGAGGAGGTGACACAGTACAGGAGATGACCAGAGACTGCAGACATAGTACAGGAGATGACCAGAGACTGCGGACACAGTACAGGAGATGACCAGAGACTGCGGACACAGTACAGGAGATGACCAGAGACTGCGGACACGGTACAGGACGATGACCAGAGAGACTGCGGACACGGTACAGGAGATGACCAGAGACTGCAGACACAGTACAGGAGATGACCAGAGACTGCGGACATAGTACAGGAGATGACCAGAGACTGCGCGGACACAGTACAGGAGATGACCAGAGACTGTGGACACAGTACAGGAGATGACAGAGACTGCGGACATAGTACAGGGGGATGACCAGAGACTGCGGACATAGTACAGGAGATGACCAGAGACTGCGGACACAGTACAGGGGATGACCGGAGACTGCGGACAGAGTACAGGAGATGACCAGAGGACTGCGGACACAGTACAGGAGATGACCAGAGACTGCGGACACAGTACAGGGGATGACCAGAGACTGCGGACATAGTACAGGAGCCTGACCAGAGACTGCGGACACAGTACAGGGGATGACCAGAGACTGCGGACATAGTACAGGAGATGACCAGAGACTGCGGACACAGTACAGGGGATGACCAGGTACCCGCTCCCACTTCACTTCCCTCTCTTTTAGTGTGATCTCTCAGCTGTGACAGCCGGGTGCCCATACACGAGAAGCGCTGCGCTTTGCGATTGGTCCTGCGTTCCAGTCTCTTCTGGACCTGTCATGGGCATCCGGCTGTCACAGCCGAGAGCTCACACTAAAGATGGCGGCGCGGGGAGACTGCACAGCGCTGGACCCAGGAACAGGTTCTGCTGCAGAGAAGAGCTGAGCGGCCGGACCGGTATTCTGATACGGTGGAGGAAACACCGGACCGGCCGCTGCATATTCACTCCGTAAGACGCACTGACATTTTCCCACCTTTTTTTGGAGGGAAAAAAGTGCGTCTTGTGGAGCGCAAAATACGGTGTGTGTATATATATATATATTGGAGTGCAGGAAAAGGGGCATCTGGGGGCGGCTGTAGTCTGTTGGTTCCTGATCATGTGACATGTTAACAAATTAATAATACACTGTAAAAAAAAAAAAAAATATATATAATTTTTTTTTTTTTTTTACAGTGTATTATTAAATTAACATGTCACATGATTACTATGATCACATGATCAGGAACCAACAGACTACAGCCGCCCCCAGTTGCCCATTTTCCTGCACTCCAAGGGCTCATTTACACCAGCGTCACCTTGTAAAAAGTAAACCTCGGTGGATCGCTTTTCAAAGCAGCGCGGTCATAGCTGACAGGGCATTCAGGAGGTGATACCGCCACCTCCTGGAAACCTGTGTGTTTGTTGTTGTTTTTTTGGGGGGGGGTTTTTTGGGGGGTGGGGGGTTTATTTTGGTTTTTTTTTTTGTTTTTGTTTTTTTTTGTTTTTTTTTTTTTACATCCAAACAAGCTTTCCAAATGGGAATGTTGCGCCCCAACTACCTCGCAGTGGCGTCACAGCCCTGTTCACATGATTGTCACATTGGATGGCGATACTGCCCACCGAACATAACCAGGGGATCATTTCTGAGTGCTGCGGCATGTATGCATCCCCATCTGTCTGCCTTTGCAGTTTAAATTGGGGGTGGTAAAAAAAAAGTGGCTCCACCTTCTTCTTTCTTCTCTCTTTTCTTCTTCTTTTCTTTCTTCATCTTCTTCTTCTTTCTTCCTTCTTCTTTCTTCTTCTTCTTTCTTCTTCTTCTTTCTTCTTCTTCTTTCTTCTTCTCTTCTTCCTTCTTCATCTTCCTTCTTCTTGCTTCTTCTTCTTCTTCTGTCTTCTTCTTCCTTCCTTCTTCTTCTTCCTTCCTCCTCCTTCTTTCCTTCTTCCTTCTTCCTCCTTTCTTCCTTCTTCCTCCTTCTTCCTTCTTCCTTCTTCTTCTTCATCCTTCTTCTTCTCTCTTTCCTCCTTCTTCTTCTTCTTCCTTCTTCCTTCTTCTTCTTCTTCTTCCTTCCTCCTTCTTCCTTCCTTCTTCTTCCTTCTTCCTTCCTTCTTCCTTCTTCCTTCCTTCCTTCCATCATCTTCCTTCTTCTTCCTTCCTTCATTCCTTCCTTCTTCTTCCTTCCTTCCTTCCTTCCTTCCTTCTTCTTCCTTCCTTCCTTCTTTCTTCTTCCTTCCCTTCCTTCTCTCTTCTTCCTCTCTCTTCTTCTTCCCTCTTCTTCTTCCCTCTTCTTCTTCCCTCTTCTTCTTCCCTCTTCTTCTTCCCTCTTCTTCTTCCCTCTTCTTCTTCCTCTTCTTCTTCCTCTTTCTTCTTTTTTTTGTTTTGTTATCTCCATCAAAATGCAAAGTGTAAACTAACCTAATAGGGTCGCCCAGCCAATCTGCTATAGAGGTAACTTTTTTTTTTTTTTTTCCTTGTCTTGTTTGCGCCATCTAGTGGAGGAAAAGGTGAAAGAGCAACTGGAAGCTGCCAAGCCGGAGCCGATCATAGAGGAAGTTGTAAGTAACCGAAATATGGGAGCCCGTATACAGATCTAGGCACAAAGAGAGAGGAACAGACGTCGCCCCTCCCACCCACGTGACGTCACAAACGACGAAGATTTTGTTACTTCCTCCCGTTTCGGTACCAGGAAGCAGCCACAATCGGACGCGATCTGGGTTCTGATCAGCTGCGTTGGAGGCCAGAGGAGAGATTTGAGGTCTAGTAGACCCCAGATCAATCCGTAAAGAGGACCTGTCATGGCCCATGCTATCACAAGGGATGCCCCA